ATTAAAAAAATATATATGCTTGTTTTGACCATAACACCTATCTGTACATAACTTCAATACATATTATTGACAAATGTATTATTAAGAAAACTTCTGAATTGATTTTGTTAGTTGGTATATATATAGTAACCCATATTCAGTGTCATGGTTTCCCAATCTGAATTGTATTATTTATTTATGTTCACCATTCTATTATAAACATTGGTTTTTTAGTGTACAATTATTACTACATCAAAACATCATTTATAGTTAAATCTATAATTGTAACAGTCTTATTTTTATTACCATGTAAAGAATATAAACATACTTATAGTAGGTATCAGACTAATTTATAAGTGTATGATTTACTAACGCTCATCATTATTAAATAATTATAATTAAAATTCAACCCAAATTGCAATATTGATTATATTTAAAAAAATAACTTATCATCAAATAAAAATTCAATCGGGCACATTGAACGTTTTTATTTTTTTTTTTTATTGTTATACATAATTATTCTTTAAAAAATAATAGTTTCACGACACACAGATAAAAATAATTATGAATAAATTAAAACTCTAGCTACAAGTTAAACAAGTATTATTTTATTGAGTATTAATTTTAAACATATTACATATACGTGTTGATATTTATGAAGTAGTAGTATTTAATTTACATCAACTTATTAATCAAAGGATAAAATACAATAATACATAATACTACGGCAATGGAAACACAAACTAAAGTGTGACTATTATTTAAATCTTTTTTTATAGAAAATATTTAAATTTATGAATTAGAATAATTTAATTTTCTTTACACCAATCATTCTCCTTACGCACCCATTCTTCCTCAGCAGCAGTAAAATCGTTTTTTATGTTGAATACTTCTCTGATCTGCTCGGGTGTTCTGTTTCTGATTATATTAGCAATAGCCTTGCAGGTAAGTTCTACGAGGCCCTTAATATCCAAATATTTAGCTGATAACATGAGTTCAAATAATGTACCTTGGTCCAATTTTACAAAATCTCTGTCCCAGTCTGATAAATCGTCGGTGCGTTTTTCATAACTCCCATCATAATCCTCTGTTGGCGGGTCGTCCTTGTGGTAAGTTGCCCAGTTAATAATTTTTTGCAATATACGTCCTTTCGTAGTAGGCAAAGGAATAAAGTTGCCATCGCCTTCTTCTATCCCCAAGTCTTCAATCATAGTAATTATGGTACCCGAAACTTTAGCAATATCAAAGTTAACTTGAAAGATTTCTCCGTCCGCACTTTGCAATTTAATACGATGCATTTTAATGCGGATAAATGCAAACGTTTAACAAATAGTACGCTGTAACGTCAGTAATTTAGTCAAGTTTAGAGTTTAAACTCGGGGCGAAACGATTGACAAATGAGTGAATGAATTTTTGTTTTTAATACTCACTTATTTCTACTGGATACTCAATTGACAGCATCACATATCTAATTTCATAGTATGGGTCTCAAGTAATATTTTAAAAACAAAAATTCAACTTCTGATATGAAATTTTATTTAATTTAAATGAATTATTCAGTAACCCGATGTCGGAAACAATGAAAAATCTAACCTAACAAACCAACATATTCAATGGCTATCGACTATCGCGTCATTTTAAAACCGTGCGTTTTAATTGGCTGTGCGTTTGGTTACATATTTCATTAATCACAGTGACCAAGTATTATCTCTAAGTT